AAGGAAGAAGAAGGGGATTGGCGAGGAAGAAGAGCCGGCAGCCATAGCTGACCGGGGAGTTGACCGAGAGGGTTGACCGGAGGCATTGACTGGAGTTGACCGAGGGTCATAGCAGCGTTGACCAGCGTTGACCAAGGCGTTGACCAAGACTTTGACCAAGCTGGAGTTGGTAACATCTCGCCAAGCCCTTAGCCTGGCCCTTGCCCTATGGATGTGCACATACCCCCCGGTACTTGCTGAGTCAAGTCAGTCTGTCTATTCTTTCTGCATCGAGTCTCTTCTGTCCTAGGTGCTAGAACTCTGTGGATGAAGGATAGGGCCTTGCTGCCAAACCTGCACGGGACTTAGTAGGACTAATCTCTACTCTGGTATCTGGAGACCTGGGCATGAGCGGCGAGCGCTCGTTAAACAACTCGTCTAGCCCAATGACCGGTACTGTCCGGCAGGTCTGCTCAGTTTCGGTGCAGAGGGTCCGAACTCTGAGCTGCAGGCTGAAACGGAGGCCGTTTTTAAGTGTTGAGGGCCTATTTGAACCACTCCCCTGCCGGACCAAGTAAGGCTGAGGATCTGTGTCTGACGACTCGACTGTCCCGGGGGATACGAACCCTCCCAAGGACCGGTACAGACGGGCGGGCTGCTCGGTGTGGCACAGTAGGCTGGAAAGGCTGAGTTGTGGGCTGAAAGCACAGGCAGAACCAAGCTGATCACGTCGTCCTGTCTGCGACGTTAAAGAATTCTTGAGGAGTTATGGGGGATCTCCTTAAATGCCACTGGTTCAGTAGTGACAACCATAGTATAGGTCTAGGCTAGAGATCCTAGTTGGCAGGATCCCTGTCAGGATTCTGTGAGTCATTAGATTGAGTCAATAGGTTTGTCAGTCAGGGGTCAGAGTCCACGTGGTGWGGTTTGGAACCACTAACCYRGTTRTACKCTTATCACCATGGTTGAGACCCGTACTGGGTTAGAGACTAACCCCTATAGTAAGGAGCAGCAAGAAAAGATGGCCGCCTTAGTCCAAGAGAATAGGGAGAGGAAAGAACGTGAATAGCAAGCGAAGCTAAAGGCTATCGCAGACGAGCAGGCGGCGAAGATGAAGAGGTTGGAGGAGGAGATGAAGAGGGTACAACAAAAGGAGGAAGAAAGAAGGAAGGCTGCTGAAGCAGAAGCGGCAGCAGAAGAAGAGAAAGAGAGAACGATAATTGAGAGTGGAGAAGGGAGCAGTGGTGGCACGATGAAGTGGGAGACAGATACTGAGCTGGAGAAGAAGATCAGCGAGTGGGTCGCTAATTTATCGTTGGGGGAAGACGAGGAGGCGAAGTCCTATGTGACTAAGGATGAGAAGGCTGCGCTGGCCGCTGAGCTAGCAGCCATGACAGACCCGATGGAACGAAGAGAGAGGGAAGACGAGCAAAAGTTAGCATGGAAGTTGARAATGAAGAGGGAGAAGAAGAGGAGGAGAGAGGAAGTGAATAAGATGACCGCAGCAGTGGCAAAGGTGCAGGAGTGTAGAGCGGAGGTGCTGGCCCAGCCATATGATAAGGCCAAGTGGGACAAAGTACTGGGCTATCTAGAGGTGCTGAGCAAGGCCTGGATGGAGGAGCGCCAAGCAAGCTGGAGCCAGGATGTAGCGTTGAGTGCCATGCGGTCCGGGTTCAGGGATTTTGCGCACGAAATCGTCACCCACATTGGGGGCGAAGTCAAACAGTTGAGGGACAATGTAGGGAAGTTTTGTGAGGGCGCCAATCAGGGTGCCAAAGCTGCAGCCGCTGTAGAAGGAGAGGGCAGACCCCGTAAGGACCCAGTGAAACTTAAGTTCCCAGACGCATACGGGGGAAAGAAGGACGAAAACTTTGACAACTGGGAGGCCAGTGTCAATAGTTACATTTATTTACAACATATCCTGATAGAGGAGCAAGTCCTCGTGGCCTTCCAGGCCCTGAAGGATGAAACGGCTAGCTTCGGCAGGTCTCTCGCGCGTACAGTCGGTTGCGAAAACAACCTGGTTGCATATTCCAAAGTCACTCCTCTTTCCCAATTCCTCAAGCTCCTCAAGGAGCGGTTCGCTGACCCAACGCGAGGCATTAGAGCCTCTGATAAGCTTCAAACGATCCACTCCCGGCAGTGGAGGAGTGCCAAGGCACTCAAGGGTACCATGGACGACTTGGTAGCCGTCCCGGACCACGGGGTCACTGAGCCCCAGTTGGTCCAGTTGTTTTATCGTGCCATTCCAGAAGCCCTACGTGGGCATTTCTTTGACAAATCTCAGCAGGCCGGCATGACTTACGATGCATTGAGTAGAGAAGTCGTCCTGTATGAGTCGAAGTCTATGCCAGTTACCACTTTCTGGCATAAGGACCTGGAGAAGGGAAAAAAGTGGAAAGATCGTACCATCTCGGGCCAAGTCAAGGCCAAGGATCACTTGATCCTGACATTAGAGAAGGGTGGTACAGAAGAGGTCCCATATGATCAGATTGAGTGGGGCCTAGGGAAGGAGTACATTAGTGTAGGGCAGGGGAGGTCTTACGCTGCTGTCGCGGCTGGAGGGAGGCCGCAAGGTAGAGGAGGAGGCCAGGGCCAAAGGGGCCAGGCCATGGGAGGCCGAGGACCGGGCGCGCAGGGGGTTGGCAGCCAAGGAAACCGCCAAGCGGGAGGTAGGGGTCAAGGTCCCCCGTCAAATCGCCAAGGTTCATTCCGGTCCCCACAGCGAGGAGGCGGAAGGGCACCTCAAGGTGGATGGCACCCAGGCTTGCCGCAGGGCAGGCCCTGGGAAGATTTGGGCTTGGACCAGCGTATCTGGCAACAATGCGTGGATCAGGGTCAGTGCGTATTTTGTGGTGACCCGGTGCACGTAATCAAATTTTGTCCCAAGTATAGACAGGACCGTTGGGCTGCCCAGCAGGCAAAAGGCAGCCGCCAGTAGGGATCGCAACTGCCCCTACTTCCAGGCCATGTGGAGAAGTGAGCGCACGCGAACAGGACACTCCCAACCCACATGAGCCTATGGCAGAGGTTGCAGGCCCGTGCCTAGATAACTGTCTAGAGACTGTTTGTGTTAGCGTCTCTTTAGGCACGTCCCTCACAGGTGTGGCAGAAGAGTTAAAGGGGAGGATGCCAGCCTGGGCCAAAATGAAAAGGGAGAGTAAGGGACAGCTGATTTTGGTAGATGTAGAGGTGTTCAAAAGTAGAGTAGGGGCCCTTATAGACTTAGGGGCTACCCGCAGTTACATTAGTCGTAGGGCGCTGAAGAAGCTGAGGCTGGGACTAAAGGTCCAGAAACTAGTAGACCCATAGTCAGTGTCCTCGCAGAAAACCGCACGATGCGCGTTGAGGACTACGTAGAGGGAGTCCARGCGTACTTTCGCCTAGAGAAGAATGGAAAAGTGGAGAAGGTCCTCCATTATTTGACTCTCCTCGTGCAGGATGATCTTCCTTTCGATATAGTGTTAGGAATGGATTGGGGAGAGGCAGCAGGGGCCACACTGCATTTGAGAGAGCATGAGTGTAGGCTCCCTAGCCCGACAGGCGAAGTTAAGACTGCCCGCTTGTTCCATGTGTCGGGTGTAGACAACACCTTGGCACATTGCTGTCTCAGTGCTCCCGCGTTCGCGCGATTAGTCAAAAAGGAGCAGTTGGAAGACCAGGTCTTTGTAGTTTATGTTAGACCTGTCACTGAGGCCCAGGAAAAGGATAGCTCCACAGATCCAACAATTGCCAAGCTGCTGGAAGAATTCAAAGACTTGACTGAGTCACCGACAGGAGTAGTGTCGCGACCCATCCAGCACAGGATAGAGATAGAGCCTGGCAGTAGATCTCCTAAGGGTGCAGTCTACAGGATGTCCCCTAGAGAGTTAGAGGAGCTTCGCAAGCAGTTAGACGAACTCCTTGAGAAAGGTTGGATCCGGCCCAGTTCGTCTCCTTTTGGAGCACCCGTTTTGTTTGTCCCCAAGAAGGAAGGAAAGCTGAGAATGTGTATAGACTATAGGGGTTTAAATGCGATCACCGTGAAGAATGTTGAGCCGCTGCCTCGGATAGACGATCTTTTAGATCCGGTGCAGGGTTGTAAGTATTTCTCTAAAGTAGACTTAAAGTCTGGATACCATCAGATAGAGGTTCATCCTGATGATCAGTACAATGCTGCGTTCCGGACTAGATATGGGCATTATGAGTTTATAGTGATGCCCTTTGGACTAACCAACGCGCGAGCTACTTTTCAGCGTTGTATGAATGACCTGTTTAGACCATGGTTAGATAAATTTGTAGTAGTCTACTTAGATGATATCCTGGTCTTTAGTAAGACCCTCCAGGAGCACCAGGGTCATCTGAGGCAGGTCTTGGAGAAGCTTAGAGAGGCTAACTTCAAGATCAACGCGAAGAAGTGCGAGTGGGCCAAGACGCAAGTCTTATACTTGGGCCACGTGTTGGACGGAGATGGCATTAAGCCAGAGGACAGCAAGATCGCGGCGATCAGAGATTGGCCGACGCCCCGCACATTGACAGAGTTGCGGTCGTTCCAAGGCTTAGCTAACTACTATAGGAAGTTCGTGAGGAACTTCTCCACTATCGCCGCTCCCTTGCGCCGATTGCTGAAGAAAGAGGCAATCTGGCAATGGGACAAAGACTGTACGTCTGCGCTCAAGAAGCTAAAGCGCCCGTTAATAGAATATCCTGTCTTCAAAGTTGCAGATCCGTCTTTGCCATTTGTCGTCACCACGGACGCGAGTCAGTATGGGATAGGCGCCGTGTTGCAGCAAGACGACGACAATGGCTATAGACCCGTAGAGTTCATGTCAGCGAGGATGCCCTGTGAGAAGGTTGCTGCCTCCACGTACGAAAGAGAACTCTACGCTCTCAGGCAGGCTTTAGATCATTAGAAGCACTACCTGCTTGGGAGGCACTTCAAAGTGTATTCGGACCACGAAACGCTTAGATGGTTAAAGACTCAAGCCAAGATGACACCTAAGTTGACTAGGTGGGTCACAGAGATAGACCAATTCGACTTTGAGCTCAAGCCAGTGAAGGGCAAGTACAACGTAGTTGCGGATGCTCTGAGTAGGAGATCAGACTACTTTGGAGCTGTAGTACACTATCTGGATATAGGGAGAGACCTGCAGGAGAAAGTGAGGCAAGCATATGCGCAGGACCCTATCTATAGCGACCTCCTAAAGAGAGTTAGAGAGGCCCCAGAGACTGAACCAGACTACCGCACTACAAACAGGTTGCTGTTTGAGAAGACTAATGTGTTTGACCGCCTGTGCGCTCCCAACAGCGAAGAGATCCGCAGTTTGATTTTAGGGGAATGCCACGATACTGAAGGGCATTTCGGTTGGCAAAAGACATTAGCCAACCTGATGTGTGCGTATACCTGGCCAGGGATGAAGAATGACTGGATAGAGTATGTCCGCAGTTGTAAAGTGTGCCAGAGAAATAAGTCTACTACACGCGCGCCCCTAGGTCTTCTCAGACCCTTGCCTATTCCAGATCAGCCGGGAGACTCCGTGTCCATAGTTAGTGATAGAGACAGTCGTTTCACCTGCCAGAACTGGCAAGAACTCATGAGGGTCTACTAGGCACGTACGGACCTAGTTACACAGAGTCT